CCCCAAAACCCCAAAACCCCAAAACCCCATAGGATAATTATCATAATTTGAAATAATAATTGTATTTAGACTTAATATGGAGAATTAAGATATATAATTCTAGATTTATCCCATTAATATGGAAAGTTTAGCAAGCAGCACAAATTCAGACGATAACATTCAATATACATTATTTGAGCAAATACTTATATTTGGTGTCTCTCCCCTCAACTTTTTGTTTGCGGTTTATGTACTCATTACTTAATTCAGAAACAGAAAAAAACATATGTATCAAGATTTAAATAATTGTATATGGTAGGAAGAACTATAGATATTTCTTTCATCTTATTTTGATATTCTTGCTTGTAAGCACCATTACTGAGATTGTTGATGTAGCAATAATGAGAGATAGTGTTTAGTATGATTATAGAATTCTTTTAACTTTAAAGGCAATTTTATGACTATAAAATTTAAGGAGATTCAACCGATGAATTAGTTAGAGAAGATGCTATTTGTTAAGTTACAGGTGGACTTAACATTCTTAGTGAGATGATGGCTTTTTTATACCTTGTATGCTTCTCATATCTGGTTAAAAAAATGGTCTCAAGTCCTACAAGTAATTTTTCATAGCTTTCTACTCTTGCTCATATCATCACTGCCCTAATCTCAATTACGTTCACATTAGCAATATTTTTAACCTTTGGATTTGGATTATCTGTACCATTTGACTTAATTTCAAACTTAATTTACTATTTATAGTCAACTTTAACTTGTGGAATAGCACTTTAAAAAGAGAAATCATACGGAGACTTAGTAAGAATATGGCCTGTTTTACTTTTGCCTATTTGCTTATACCATTTTATCTTTCTATAAAAAGAAGTACCCTCGCTTATTAAGACAAGTGTAATTTCAACTATGATAAATTTTTAGGTCAAATACTTCATTTTTTAATACTCAGTCTATGTAATATTTTTTGCAGCATATGTTGTAACAAGATTTATACTCATCATAATATTCAATGCTGTTCCTGGAAAAACCTACTAAGATTTATCGCATCTTACAATATACATTGATATGAGAGCTGTATTTTTGTTTTACTTACAAATCATTGTTATAGTCTGTTGTATTTTTGAAATAACTTCAGCTTTCATGCTTAATTTTTGTTACATATATAAGCCCTGAACAAATATAAAGAATGAGAAAGTGTTTCTCAAGACAAAGAACAAAGAATTAAGAGGTACGTTTAATACTGTTAATAATTCAAGATTTAAAAGGATTTATTGAGAGATGAGAACAGCAGCTTTTATAGTGAAGCTTTTTCAGATAACTCTAATTATAGAGAATGTAAAATATTTTTTCGTTGAATTATTATATAAATAGCATCAAGAAGTTCAAGAGGAAATAATCAAAAAAGGGTAAATTTTATGATTTCGGATGAGGATTTCAAGAAAGGATACAGCCCTAATATTCTCTAGAAATCATCAACTCTAGTTTTAAAAACTAGTTTCCACTTAATTAACTATATACTAATGGGAATGTGTCAAACCTTTCTTAATATCCAAAATGAAGTAAGAGTGGAAAATTGGTAAACATTAATTGATTCAGATGTTGTAAAATACAAAGAAAATTTCAAAATACATAAGATTGATACGGAAAAATTCATGACTGAACATTAAAACGTGTGCATTTATGATATAAATCGAGGAAGCAATAAAAATTAGCTTGAAATAGTAGAGTATGCACCAGAAATTTTCAAAGCGATAAGAATGAAATGTGGCATTACAGAAGAATAATTATTCACATCCTTTTCACCTATATATAATATCTAAGCTATTCACAACTTCTTTACAGGAGCTGGGAAATCGTAAAGTTTCTTTTTCTTTTCAGATAATAAAAATTTTGTCTTAAAAACATTGAAAGAGAGTGAAAAGAAACTCCTGCTGGAGAAAGGAATCCTAGAAAACTACTATTAGCATATGATGAAAACAAAAAATTCTTTACTATCAAAATTCTATGGAGTATACACTATTAGAGTTAAATATATGCAAGAAGTAACTTGTTTTATAATGGATAATCTTCTTGGATAGGATTTCATAAATATCTAAAGAATTTATGACCTAAAGGGTTCAACTAAGGGTAGAATAGTCAAATTAACAGAAGAAGAAGATGAATCTTAAAGTGGACTAAAAGTTTTAAAAGATCTAAACTATCTTAGAATAAATGAAAAGATAAATGTTGCATAATCAATTAAAAGAAAGTTACTCTAATCTATTTAGGAAGATTTATCTTTCCTTAGAAATAATAGACTAATGGATTATAGTTTGCTACTAATTAAAGTTAAAAATACTAAGCAGCCAAATGATAAAATTAAAAGAATGCCTGCTCTCATTTATATAAAATAAAAAAATGGAAACAATAGACTCTAATTAAGATAGCTTGATGATATATAAATGGGTAGGATTGTAAAACAGAAAACAAAAATAATCTCTAATAATTTGCCTAGCTAATCAATAAAAACAACAGATTAAGCATCTATAATGAAAGAAAAATATAATAATAATAATAATGAACTTCTGCTCCCTCATAAATTTCTAAATGCTAAATAGAGCTCAATGATTGTTGAAGATAAAAATGATGATCTTGAAAAAATGAGATCTTCTCTTATCTCAGAAGATGAAGGAGAAGAGGATGAATTTAGAGACTCAAATTTCTTAATTAAATCTAAAATACTGAAATCAGAAGAAGTAAAAGTTTAAGATGAAGAAGGTGAGTAACTAAGTTAACCGTCCTTAAATAATGTAAAAAGTGTACAAAAATTCATTGAAGATATTGAAAATGATCCAAATTTAATAATGGAAAGCCTTCAATCATTTTTATTCCATTCTTTCTTAAAAGGAGATAAGAAAGATGATCCAAATATAATTGAGGATTTGCATGGCGAATACAAGTACAAGCTAGGAATCATTGATTTTTTGACTGAGTATAATGCTGCGAAGAAAATTGAGAAGACATGGAACAATATAGTTTACTGGAAAGATAGATAGCAAGTATCATGTCAAGATCCTGAAACATACGCTGAAAGATTTCACGAATTTATGAAAGAACACCTTTGATAAATTGTAAATCACATAATTTTCAAAAATAATTGAATTTTTTCAACAATTTATTAGATGAATGGGGTTTTGGGGTTTTGGGGTTTTGGGG